CCCCCCCGCCCCATCAGGCTCTGTGCTAAGCTCGGCGTCTGGAGTCGGCTTCAGATTCTGTGCTTCCTGCACTCTCTCTGCCCCTGCCCCGCTCACCATCTGTGTCTTTCTAAAAATAAACATTAAAAAAAAATAATAACTTGGAAAATTAGGTGCTAATTAATATAAGTCCTTACACAATTTTTCAGCTTCCTCTATTGACAAATATAAAGACAGTACTGCAAGTGGACTCTAAACACTTGCTTTTTCTAAAATTTTATTAGTAATAATAGTGCTTTGATGACTATTAATTTAATTCTGATATAATTACCTTCATATTGGGAACATGTACTACATCCCCATATTGGTCTTTTGTTTGAACAGTTATGGTGGTAGGCCAACCACAACGAATATCATCCTTGTTCAGGATCAAAGATGTTTTCTGAGGATCAGCATAGGAATCTGGTTGAAGCCACCTAGCAGTGATGAAAAAACAAGCAAAAAAGTAAACATTCATAAATATCTTCAATGATTAACATGAAATTAAGCCAAATGAGTAACATTTGTACCAAATAATATCTTCATTTCCAATTCAGTGACAATCACAAGTGTCTCCCTTGCAAATTGTTAATGACGCATTCATTAAAAAAATATGACAAAGTACAGGAGGTTTCTGATGTTTTTGTAAATAGAAATAATTTTAAAATCAGAAAACTTGAAATTTTAACTACAGCTGACACAACATAACCAAGAAAACAAATTTAGGTTGTGTATATTTGAAGTCCCAGTACACTCATGCTTACTGAGGGAGATCTGCCCGGATTTCCCAGCCTGAAAATCTGAGAAAGAACAACTCATCTGTAAAAGCAGTGACAGTAATGGCATTCTGCTGCCTGAGAACAGCTAGGTTAAAGATGTACTGTTCATCTCCTGTTCATCCAGTGTCTCAACTATCTTCCCTATTACCTTCCCTTCCATGTAAATTTTGCCAAATTTCTACACTTTGGGATACCCATTCTTCTTTTTTTTTTTTTAATAGAAGAAACTGATGATCTTTTTTGTAAATGCTTATTTATTTATTTATTTATTTATTTTTTAAAATTTTTTTTCAACGTTTTTATTTATTTTTGGGACAGAGAGAGACAGAGCATGAACGGGGGAGGGGCAGAGAGAGAGGCAGACACAGAATCGGAAACAGGCTCCAGGCTCTGAGCCATCAGCCCAGAGCCTGACGCAGGGCTCGAACTCACGGACCGCGAGATCGTGACCTGGCTGAAGTCGGACGCTTAACCGACTGCGCCACCCAGGCGCCCCAATGCTTATTTATTTTTGAGAGAGAGTGTGCACAAGTGGGGGAGGGGCAGAGAGAGAGGGAGACAAGGAGTCTGAAGTAGGCTCCAGGCTCTGAGCTGTCAATGCAGAGGCTGAAGCAAAGCTTGAACCCACAAAATCCGAGATCATGACCTGAGCTGAAGTCAGGCACTTAACTGACTGAGCCACCCAGGTGCCCCAGGATATTCATTCTTGAATTCATTCCATGATCTACATTCAAGTTGTCCTGGGAGATAAGTTATAAGTAATTCTGTCATGTATTATGTAAAAATGTCCACAAAGTTAGCAGTGAGGCTGACTTAAAAAAATTCTCTATCCTCCGATCACCATTTTGATTTTTCAAAACTAAAGAGGAATCTCTTTATTTTTAAAATTAGAAATGGGAAGAAGTAAGACTTCTATATTTACTAGTAAAATCACACAAGCCAGCACATTTTTTCTTTTCGTAAAAAAAAATAGCAACAAGATAAATGAGAACTCTACAACCAACCCCAAATGATTTCATTTAAATTCTAAATATATTTGTATTATTTGTAGGTTTTAAAGAAATCATATTAAAATAACATATGGTGATAAATTTAAGTTTAGTCTAAAATTCCTAGACTTCTCAATTATACCATGTGCTCCGTCTATTTTTTAAATAAATAAAAGTTCACCTAGGAAACTATAAAATAATCAACTAACAACTACCATATTCTTTAAAGGTATTTTAAAATATTTACCATTTTATACTTCGGCAAGTTCAAAACACATAAACCAGATTCTTCAGGCTTCATTTTAACATCTTTCCCTTTCATTTCTCTTCAGAAATGAAGAGTGAGGCATGCCCTGAAATAAGTCGCTGTAGCACTTAAAGCACATTACCTTGCAAGCCTCCCACCACTTGATCCTGGAACACAGGCAATAAAATCATCCAGAAAGGACTGTTCATTGCTTTGGATTTGAAGTGGTAAGTTTCCTTCAAGCGCCTCTAATATAGTTGGTGAATGAGAAAGAGCTAAACCCTTTCCAAGAATACCAGAATGGGTTTTGCACACCTGTTGGGTAAGACAATATTCATGTATTTGAAAACATACAATTTTAATTACATGAGTTTCTTGAACTTGCACACAATTTTAGGTAGGCCTTTTCGGGGAAAGCATTTTCTCTCCATGCCCCAGTGCTCCTGTAGCCTGCCAAGTAGAAAACAAACCTCCAGGAGGGAAAAATATGGGATAGCCAGCCTCTTTCCTCCCACCAAAACAAGTGACGTCAGAGACGTGCAGGTTGAGAAGGTGCATCTCTTCTCGCTCTACTGTGCCAGGGCTCCCTTCTGCAGGCAGCTGTGGAGGCCTCTCACCTTTTGTGTCCCCATTACTGGCATCTTTCATGGGTGGATTATCTTTGCTCTCTTAGGTGGGTGGCTACCAAGGTCCTGCCTTGGACAACATGTGGATACAAGCCTGACTGTGGCTGCACATAAACTCCATTAGTCTGTCTAAGCCTCAATTAAAATTAAGAAAAAGAGGCAGATACAACTGAAATTTTAGTTTTCACTGACCTGACAAGCAAACTTTACCTTTTTGAAAGATCTGCTTTAAATGTTGAAACTCTAGAAACTTTTTAATGACTATGTTATAAATTTTGAAACAAAATATTTTTCATAGAAAAGGATTATGCTTCCACTACTATGACACTTATACAACAGTACCTTCTGCATTCTCTGAGATATACAATTTCAAAAATCATGATCTTTAAAATCAAACAGATTTGAGTTCAATTCCTGACTTTTAGACAAGCACTGCTGTGTGCTCTTGAGCTAAGAGATTACACACCATTCCTGAAGCTGCAAAATGTATAAACTGGTAATCAAATAATATCTCTCTTCTGTAGTTACTGTAAAATTTAAATTATATAACACGTACAAAGTGCACACTATGCTGCCTAACAAGTAGTAGGTATTAGACCACATGACATCTACCTTATGTGCCAAAAATGTGGGCAATCTGGGATATGAGGGTTTTTGTCTTTAACAGAAGCACAATAAACATCTCTTTATATCAGGCCTAAATGACATTTTATAAACCATTATAATCTCTGTAAGGATAAATAACATATGAACTCCTTGATGGTTCTCTTTAATTAGATTGTTGTCTGATACATACTGTATTTATTAAATCTCTATTGAATTTTTATTTTTTTATCTTAAAGTACAAAAATTTAACTCTTTTTTAAAAACAAAAACAAAAACAAAAGCTGGTGGGTTTTTAAAACGTAGAAGTTTCTTAACATTATTGAGGATACCAGGGCTCTCTATAATTGGAGCATAGTAATCAAGATCATGGACTTTGTCACCCAAATGCCAGAGGTCAAATTCTAGCCAGCTGCTTACTAGCTATGTGATTCTGGGCAAGTTACCTAAGCACTCCATGCCTCCTTGTAAATGGAAAATAAGAGTCTCTCATTCATGGGGCCACTATGAGGACTAAATGAGTTAAAATATGCAAAGTGTTTGGAATAGTACTTGATAAGGTCAGGATCAAATAAATGTTTGTTTTTATTATTACTGCTATGATCAATTCATCTTGGGAAGTGAATAAGATGTAAACAACCAGCTATAGGTTAACAGTTGACCTGGATACTAGCCTCTGTCTCCTAATTAGCTGAATTCTTAGACAAGTCACAGAACTTCCTTGAACTTCAGTTATTGTAACTATAAGATGCAAGAGAGAATACTGACCTCAAAATGTAAATGCTAAAAACAGATAATATTAAAGATACAATAAAATACTCTATAGAAATTATTTAAGTTACTACTACTAACACCCATTTCCCTCTTTTTCTGACCGGTAAATAAAACTTCTTTTGAGATCTAATTTAAATGTCAACAGCTCTGCAAAGCCCTTCCCTAAACCCTTGGCACTTGGTAACTTCCTTCTCTGGCAGGATTTATGTTCACTTCAGATTTAACAACCTCCATGCAGCACAGCAAGGACTCACCTGGGTTTCTCCTATCAAGATATTATAAGTTATGTATTATCTGTCAATAAACAGAATGAAGTACTTAATGAAAGCCCTATATTCAAGAAAAATAAGGTTGATCTGAATGAAAATACTGCTTTCAAATCAATGTACAAATTTATCCTTACGATGTTTGTGACAATACCTGCAATGCAGCCTCTTCAAGAATTTCAAGATCTTCCTCTAATTCATTACCTGTTGTGTAAATGAAAAGTTTTAGTAACATATATTAATACTTAGTTTAGCCTTTTTTTTTTTTTTTTAGTTTATGTATTTATTTTGAGAGCAAGAGCAGGGGAGGTGCAAAGAGAGGGGGGCAGAGAGAGAGAGAGAGAGAGAGAGAGAGAGAGAGAGAGAGAATCTCAAGCAGGCTCCATGTTGTCAGCGCAGAGCTGGACATGGGGCTTGAACTCATGAACCGCAAGATCATGACCTGAGCCGAAATCAAGAGTAGGATGCTTAACCCTCTGAGCCACCCAGGCACCTCACTTAGTTTAACTCTCTAGTCCTCTGCATTTATTCACACCTTTTTCACAATTCTGATATTCCAGATTGGAAAGAACTATTACCATTCTGGATCAGTCTCAGTGCTTTATGTTTTAAAATGTAATTTTCAGTGTAAATATAAGGCTATAATTCTCAAGGCAATACTCAAAAGGTATCTACCAAGTGATGTGCAACACACACACACACACACACACACACACACACACACACACACACTACATTTAGGCATATAAATGTGCACTTTTGAATTTAGTGTATTCAAATTCCCCTCTACCCTCCAAAATGAAGGAACTAATTACTCAGAATCTGGGCCTTTTTATTTTGGTTATCGTATACAAGAGCTATCTATACCTTTAGTAAAAAGAGTAATTTACAGGAAAACATAAGATAGTGAGTGTATCCTCCATCCATTTTCTCCTTTATTGCTTCATATAAAACACATTTAGGGGCACCTGTGTGGCTCAGTCGGTTAAGCGTCCGACTTCATCTCAGGTCATGATCTCATGGTTTGTGAATTCAAGCCCCATTGTGGGTTCTGTGCTGACAGCTCAGAGCCTGAAGCCTGCTTCAGATTCTGTGTGTCCCTCTCTCTCTGCTCCTCTCTGCTCATTCTCTGGATCTCTTGCTTTCAAAAATAAGGCAACATTAAAAAAAAAACCAACCATATTTATTGAAGTTGCTTTGATAGTTTAATTAATTTAAAAACTATTACTAAGGTAATACGTGTTCAAAAGGAAATATTCAAATTTTGCAGAAGTGTAGAATGAAAAATTCTCCTACCTACCTCCTTCTGAAAATAAAATGTCAACAGTTTATGTATTATTCAAGAAACTTTGTGTGCAAATAAGTACATGTGTGTGTGTGTCAACATATATACTCATGCACACATACACATATATTATTATATATATATAACATAATATTCACGAAGAATGGGACCCTCTTCTGAAACTTTTCTCCGTTAACATAATTAGGAATTCTTCTTGGTCAGAACATAGAAATCTCTTTTTGTTGTTGTTTTTTTTTTTTAAAAATTTTTTTTTTTTTCAACGTTTATTTATTTTTGGGACAGAGAGAGACAGAGCATGAACGGGGGAGGGGCAGAGAGAGAGGGAGACACAGAATCAGAAACAGGCTCCAGGCTCTGAGCCATCAGCCCAGAGCCCGATGCGGGGCTCGAACTCACAGACCGCGAGATCGTGACCTGGCTGAAGTCAGACGCTTAACCGACTGCGCCACCCAGGCGCCCCTGTTGTTGTTTTTTAACAGTCTCATGTATTTCCCTTGTATGTATCATTACTTATTTAACCAGTTTCCAATTGATAGATATTTTAGTTGCTTCTATGTTTTACAATCACAAGCACTGCTATATTAATATCTCTCTTACAACATATATTTTTTAAGCATTTGTGCAAGTACATACAAAAATTGCTGTATCAAAAAGTATACGGCATGTAAAATTTGAACAGGTATTAACAAATTTCCTCCAAAGGCTACACCCATTTCCTTCATATAAAGAGAACACAACATGTCTCATTTCCTCATACCTGTGTCAACATTAAGTAGGAGCAGGGGAACTGAGAAGCATGGAAGGGAGCAGGAAAAAGGGAAGGAAGAAAAGAGCAGAGAATGAGAAGGGAGGAAGGAGGGATGAGGTGGAAAGTGTAGTCTTCGAGGGAGGAGCTACAAATGAACTTCTGAGGGTGAGAACTGGGGAAATACAATAATAATGTCTTTTACTCCCAAACACTGTGAAGATAAATGTTAAACCACGTCTAAGCATCATAGAATCAGTAAATATTTCTAACCTTAGTTTCATCTTTACCATCCTGATCATAAATTGATTCACATACCACACAAATTTGTATCATTTTATAAAGAGGTATTGTTCCTGCCAATACCTCATTTCTCTCCTGTGCTTCACAGGAAAATTCTTCTAAAGAGCTATCTATATTTAACCTGTGTCTCTTTTCTGACCATCCATTCTCTCCCTCTACTCTAAAGGCCTTATGTTTCTCTCATCTCACTGATATATTTCTTATTGAGAATATATGTAACCAACAAGTCTCTCCATCCAATGGTAGATTTTAATTGACTTCTCAACTACATTAAAAAATCCCATCAATGTCCATTTTCCTGGTTTTACGCCTACCTCCTTCGCTGCTGTACCAGTCTTTTTTACATGCTCTTCCTCCCGTTCTGTCCATTTTTGACACTTTGGCAGTCACACCTCTGATCCTGGGCTATCTTCTCTTTCTCATTTGCATTCTCTTCCTAGCTCATCTTTCACATGGTCCCATGCCTTTAAATTTCAACTATGTTCAAATGACATTTCCTTTGACTTGTGCCCTGAGCGTCAGGCAATGAATATCCAACTGTCTAGTTGATATGTCCACAAGGCTATTTAAGAAATTATCTCAAAACTTTTGGTTTACTATTATGTACCTAATGTTTAACCCAGTGTCTGACACACAGCATGTATGTGCCTAAGGAGGGTTTGTGTGCATGTCTGTGTGTGAATAGAAAAGACTAGAGGATACTCTTCAATCTTTAGTACAGAAAACCCAAACTACCAGCATATTAAATAGTTATTACTCATGAATGTATGGGACTATTGAATTCATTTTGCTAATTTATTTCAGAATGCCCTAAAATAAACATATTCTACTCTTGAAATTTTTAACAAAATCATAAACACCTAATACTTGACCAGACTTACCAATAGGAAGTGCTAGATCCTTTTTCATCAAAGCGGCTGCACAAACTCCGCCAAGATTGGCTAATTCTTTTTCCAACTGAATGACACCCTGGAGAATCCCAAAAATAAAATAAAATAAAATGAAATGAAGTGAAATGAAATGAAAATAAGATAAAATGAGCTGCTTTAAAAAATATTTGGAGGATAAAATATTTGGAAGATAATGTGGATTATCAACAAAATGTGATTTGCATCCAAGCATAACTTTTGAAACCAGAAAGAACAGGTCAACTAGTGGTTAAATTAAGAGTGGAAGAGGGTGAATAAAATGTCTACTGCATGTTATAAGGTCCAGGTCTACAGGTGCATTGTCCAAAGAATTTGTCATTCATTACTTTGAAGTAACATGATCATTTTTTTTCACCTTGATTTTGTTTTATTGTGTGATTTGAAACATTTAGAATAGAAACTAAATTGGCCCCATTGGGAAAGCAGATTCTATTATTTACTCAGAAAGGTACAGCCACCTGAGCAGGTTTGGAGCAGGTACAATTATACTTTCTGTTGCAGACTCTATTCTCTTCATGTATTAAAAGTAGCAAAAACAAACAAACAAACAAAACACTAAAAAACAAAAAACACTACACAAACTTAAACTACAAGGTATTTTAAATTATATTCTTTAAATTTCAGGCTTCGTGAACATAGGCAGCAAACACAACTTTAGTCAATAGCAGCCCTCAGAAACACAATCTTAACACAATGAGAAGATAATTCATTCCTACCTCATCAGGTCCAGGGCTAAACTCATATCCAATTGCAAAACATTTAAAACCATAGAAAGAAGCTTTGTCATCTTTCACATAATCTGATGCAGTCTCCAATGAAAAAAGGGCTTCATTTCCTAAGAAAAAAAAGCTAACATTGAGTTCAAAATCTGAAATGACTTTATTAAAATTTCCCTTTTATCTATCTCAAGATAGGTAGCAATACAAATCAGTTACTAAAAAGCCCAGGCTTTTTGGGTGGGGGGTGTTCCTGTATCTACTTGAATATAATTGCTAAAAACAACTCTAGCCAACAACAGAATCATCTCAAGTGAATTGTTATTTTTCTTTATGATCAAGCTCTCCTCAATCAAATGTTCTACCTTCATGTTACATGAGCAATCATTTTTCAATTATCTATTTCTAGGGTAACCTAGGTTAGTTAGCCTTTTCTGTTTCAGTCAGTAAGCAATCCTCTAACCTGGCTCCTTACAAACAAACAAGGCAGGTCAGACTAGAAGACAAAAGCTTCTGAATTCAAACAGGCTATGAGTTTGAGGAATCACAAGAATATTTATGGTTAACTGGTTAAAAACACAACAGACTACATGCAGTTTTAATAATTTACAAACTTTCTTTGAAAGGAAAACATTAGCAATAGCAATAAAAAATGCTTTCTATCTCTGACACCCCCCCCCCCCCCCCCCCCCCCGCCCTGCCCAACACACACACATCCTCAAGCCTGAAGAACTAAAAACAACAGCTTTAATGTAACTCAGTACGTGAGGTGTTTCACCAATTCTCTTGAGTGGAAGAAGCCCTAAGTTCTCCAAGTCTAGCACTTATTGGGAAAATAAAAGATCAAATTCACTTCTTCCATAGTTTGTTCCCAACTATACAGACATCCACTCCTCAATATTAACCCTCTGCTTTGGTCAAGCTAAACTTTTTTCACAAGATCCTCATGACGTTCTCTCTTTGAAAACTCAGTCGTGTTATGCCCTCTGTCTAGAGTCTTCTTCACTATTCAAGTGCACTCCAGATGCATAGTAGGTCTTGAAGAAATTCTTCTCAATGTTTGTAAATGTTTTCAATGTTGTATCCTTACTAAACATAATTGTCATAAATGCATATATTTTACCATATAAAACAGAAAAGAAAAAAACAACTTACCTGGCAACACTAAAACCATAGTAGGCCACCCAGAGGACCCTGAAAATTTCTTTAATTCTATCCAGGAGTTAAGATTTTCATGAACAGATGTCAATTTTGGTCCATATCCTGAATTCTGAACAGTTCTGACAGGAATCAATAAACGGAGGACATCTTCTGACTGCGCAGTGCCACACTGGGGGTCAAACTCGATTGTCATCCACCGTACACATTCTGGGAATGTCACCTGAGGTTAACAGGCGAGAGGACACTTGTATTTGTTAAGAAAAATTTGATTTTTTTTTCCTATTTTAGACACAGGACATACTGTAAATATGATGCTTTAAACATACTGTAAACTAAATTTTAAGAAATTAATACAGTAGTTTCAATATGACTAGAAATCATGGTATTAATGTTCAATATCAATTGTCCCTATTCCCAACTTGCAATATCTACTGCTTTCTACCTAAAACTTGGTTGATATTACATTAATAATGTTTGTAAGTACACATTGGTAACACTGAAAAAATATTACAAGGTTGTTTTGATTTCCATAAACATTCAGTTATCTAATTTTCTTGTGGAACAATATATATAGTAAATTTTCTATTTTAGTCAGTATGCATCTAAGTAGGTAAATGAAAATATAATTAGATGGGCAAAATATAAAGATATATTGATGGAAAGGAAACAAATCATTAAAATTTAAGGTTTTAGTCACTTTTAAGTTATCTACCATTCATAGTATCTGCTACAAATGATATTTTTCATTAGCAAAAAACTTCAGAACTTCATATATAACAAGAATAAAAAAATAAACTAAACACACAATGATGAAAACTTAGATTTTTATATTTTCCTAATCTAAAGTTTCAATGTAATATGAGTTTATGATGGCACATACTTATATGTATATTTTTAAGTAAGCCAATATAGTTTATTTTATTAAAGTTGAAATATGAATGAAGGGTAGAAAAACTAAATGTAATAAAATTGCCAAATATTAGCTATTGTGTTGAAAGTCACACAAACTAGGTCATAAAATGTATCTTTGTCCTTATCTTTTTAAAATCTTTTATTAGTATTTTTTAAAATATAATTTAGTGTCAAGTTGGCTAACATACAGTGTATACAGTGTGCTCTTGGTTTCAGGGGTAGATTCCCGTGATTCATCGCTTACATGCAACATCCAGTGCTCATTCCAAGAAGTGCCCTACTCAAAGCCCATCACCCACTTTCCCCTCTCCCCTGCCACCCCCATCAATCCTCAGTTTGTTCTCTGTATTTAAGAGTCTAATATGGGTTTGCCTCCCTCTCTGTTTGAAACTATTTCTTCCCCATCCCTTCCCCCATGGTCTTCTGTTAAGTTTCTCAAATTCCACATAGGAGTGAAATCATATGTCTTTCTCTGCCTGACTTATTTCAGTTAGCATAATACCCTCCAGTTCCATCCACATTGTTGCAAATGGCAGGATTTCATTCTTTCTCAGTGCCAAGTAGTATTCCATTGTATATATAACCACATCTTCTTTATCCATTCATCAGTTGATGGACATTTGGGCTCTTTCCATGATTTGGCTATTGTTGAAAGTGCTGCTATAGGGGCGCCTGGGTGGCGCAGTCGGTTAAGCGTCCGACTTCAGCCAGGTCACGATCTCGCGGTCCGTGAGTTCGAGCCCCGCATCAGGCTCTGGGCTGATGGCTCGGAGCCTGGAGCCTGTTTCCGATTCTGTGTCTCCCTCTCTCTCTGCCCCTCCCCCGTTCATGCTCTGTCTCTCTCTGTCCCCAAAATAAATAAACGTTGAAAAAAAAAATTTAAAAAAAAAAAAAAAAAAAAAAAAAAAAAAAAAAAAAAAAAAAAAAGAAAGTGCTGCTATAAACATCGGGGCACAAGTGCCCCTATGAATCAGCACTCCTGTACCCTTTGGATAAATTCCTAGTAATACTATTGCTGGGTTGTAGGGTAAGCTTCTATCATCATCATTGCAGACAGCATTCTGTCTTGGTAGTCGAATTACAATTAAGTGGGACCATGTCAAATAGTAAACTATGAAATGGTTATAGGATATGATATGACAGTTAGGAAATTTCCTAAGTATGATATTGATCTAAAAAAATTACCTAGAACTAAGGCAAACAGCTTTGGTACAGGATTAAAAAAAATCTCCACTTAAATGAAAAGCTCACCTTTGTTCATAATTACATAACTGCAAATTAAAACTAAAGTAAGATACCATTACTCCCACCAATTCTCCCATTATATTAGCAAAAGGCCCAAAATTTAACCACATACTCTGTTGGGGAGGCTGTGAGAAAACAAGCACTCTCAAACACTGGTGCTGGGGACACGAAACAGTATAACCTCGACAGGACTCTCTCAACCCTAGCAAAGATACATATGCGTTCAGCTTCTGTAGCAGTAACCCCAAACCTATGAAGCACGTGGCTCCTCAGTCTACATTTGTTTGACCCAGTAATCCCACTTCTGGGGATGTGCTTTGAAGATATATTTCTAAATACATGAAAAAACAAACAAAAAAGCCCAACATTTACGTAAGGTTATTCATCGCAAAAAAATTAGCAAAATACTGAAAACACCTGAAGTGCTCACACAAGCTACCTACTGAATAAACTATGACCCATCTTCACAGAGGAGCACTAACCAGTTGTAAAAAAAGAATGAGGATGATCTCTTTAAATGGCATGGGGAGATTTCTATGCATTTTGTTACATTTCAAAAAGTACCAAACAGATTTGGTGTGCTACCATTTTAAAAAGAAAAACCTACATCTATATCCATCTATCTATTTTTTCAAAAATAAACACAGGAAGGAAACACCAGGACACTCAATGGAGTAAGCTGAGAAGCAGAGAAGGGAAAGGGAAGGGCCTCATAATTCTGAGCATGTTATTTTATATGATTTTATTTCTGGAGCCATGTTGATATTTTAAATACTGTATAAAGTTAAAAGATAAAAGTTAACCAAGATAAAGATAAAGATAAACAAAGAAGGATGGGGGAAAACTCACAAAAATTAAGTACAAAAAACCAAATAAGCCTAATTTTATAGCAAAGTGATCATACAGCAACCTGCACATATAGATAAAAAGAATTACTCCAAGTAACTTCTGAATTTGGTACTTTGTTATCTAATGTCAGCGGGATATATTCTGAAGACAAACATTTTACAAGGAAATTGTTAATTTTACCCAGTAGTTCTATTTTTTACAGTGACACATAAATGGGATAGATATAAAGACAAGACTCCTATAATGTTGACTAGAACTGGTAGGTAGTATTCAAAAACTGATGAAAACATGATAAAACATATAAAAAACATAAAATCCAGCTTGAATGAACTTCCACTGGCCAAATCAATTAAAATTTGAGAATTAAAATAATAACAGCAAAGGATTATAACATTAAACAAAAAGAAAATTCTTAAATCTGTATTGATATAAACACATAAAATAAATGAGTGAATGTGTGTTTAAAAGTGGAAGGGATGGAAAAACGGTCTTTTACAATAGAACACTAAATGGAAGGAATAACAGAATTAGAAAGCCACCGTTTTGCAACCACTATAGTAATAAGTGATTTGGGTAAGAATCACCAATGGATGCTAAAACTGCTGGGTGAAAATTTGTTAGGGAGTATTTTTTACACAGTCTCTAGCTCTCTACCCATAAGCCTTTTCAAAGAGAAAAAAGGTAGTTTTGGTGGAGAAACTTGCCAGATATCCTCTTAATCAAATGGTAAGTACTTCCTGATGGAATGCACTGACAAGAATATGGTATCAATTATGAACTGTTGCTGCCCAAAACAAGTAACCTAAGTTTAATCATTAGGAAACAATCAATCAAGTCCAAATTAAAGGATACTTCTACAGAACGGCTGATTGTATTCTTCATAAATGCCAATGTCAAGAAAGACAAGGAAAGCCTGAGGCACTATTTCAGATCAAAGGGAACAGAGAAGACCTGACAACTAAGTGCAATGGATGAATCTGGTTGGATCCCAGATCTGGGTTTAGAAAAATGCCATGAATGCTGTTGTTGGGGCAGCTGGCAAAACATCTAGCTTATAATATCATGGTATACTACTATTACGCATTATGGTAATAGAGCATCAATGTTAAATTCCCTCAATTTGACTAGTGTATTACTGATACACAGAAAAATCTCTGTTCTTAGGAACAAGGTGACTGTTCATGTTTGCAACTTACTCTTAAATGGTTCAGCAGTATCAAATACAGATAAATAAATACAACAAATGTGGCAAAATGTTAACTGATGAAGCCAGGTGAAAGGCATACAAGGTGATCATTGCACAAATCTTATTTTTTCCTACAGGTTTGAAATATTTACAATAAAAGCTGAAACACATGGGGAATGAATATACACACTATCTCCATCTGTGTATGTGACTACACTTACATTATAAAAAACGGAAGAATAAACTACAAAGTTATAATAAAATGAAATGCTACCTAGGATAGGAAAGGAGGGAACAGAGATTGGGGATAGAAATAAAACCTAGACTTCTCTGAGTACTCTTTCCTTTATAGATTTGAGTTAGGACAATGTAATCATTTAAGTTGTTATAAAACAAAACAATATATAAAAAGCAGTTCTTAAAATCCTAAAATAAAAGAAATGATGCCAAATGTATGTCCAATTTGTGGCATAATCACACAGAGAGTGACTATTCCAACTTACATTAAACACAGTAATTGACCATACCCACTTACTTTAAAACACATTCATTTCTTTATACATCCTAGATGGGATATACCCAACATGACAAAACACACCCACACATATACACACACAGGAAATGAATAACCGATTTTCTAATTCTAATATTCCCAGTGTCATTGGGAACAGGGATCTAGATGTATGACAAAAAGATTCAAGGGTAAGGTCCTATGGACCTTATTCTGAATTAGTATCATCAGTACAAACTTCAGGTATTGTATCTTAAAAAAAAAAAAAATACATATAAATGTGTCTATACAGGAATATATACACATATATAAAAATAATATGTGCCTGTGTGTATAAATACATGCATGAGTGACTGTATGTACCAGTTCTGTGCACTACAAATATTTAGAAACAATCACCAGCCCAAGAGAAACGAGTCAAATTCTTCTGCCAAATTTTGGCTCTTAAATACCAACACAAGAAATGTAGAAGACGAGCCTAGAATATCTTACACTAGTGGGGGAGGATACTATGAATGACTACAAGGGGTATGTCTAAAGGATTCAGGCGGCAAGCTGAAGAGGTTCCTACCAACAAAGACATATGGTCCGTTTTCTCAAATAAATTTCAAGGAAACAAAAAAAGACCGAGTTGGAGGGGAACCTCCTCAAGTAGATAACAAGAGACTTGAGAGACATAATAACCAATCACAATGTATGGATCTTATCTGGATTCTAATTCAAACAATTAAAAAAGTTAAACTCTTATTCTGAATCTAACTCAATTAAAAATGTACATATTTGATGACATGAAGGAATTATTAGCATTTTCTGTATAATAATAATATAGTTACTTTTTATGGGTCTATATTTAAAGATAGATAATAAAATATCCATAAAGGTGCTTTAAAATAATCTAGATTATTATATGTTTACCACAGTGTATAATAAAAAGTTGAGTATTTTGCAAGCACATAAAACTTATAATTACATTGATGAAGTAGACAAATCTTCCTTCTCCTCCTTAGTTTACATGATACAATTTAAAAAGGAACAAAGACTCTGGATACTCTGTAATATTATATTTATAAATGTTTTATTATTTTTTACATTATTTATATTAGAGCACTCGAAGTCCTGCATTGGATATGCAAATTTTCAGAACTCAGGCTGTGGTATAAATAATAGCAGTTCAAACAATATGATTTTTAAATTTTCATGCTTATATCCACTACTATTACAATACATAATATGCAGTTTAACATTATATACTGCACTGGACTTATAAAAACATATGAGAACAATTCTCATAAATACTCCCAACATTACGCTTTAATGACAAAAATTCTATCTTAAACCCTTTTGTGTATCTGACAGTGCCTAACCACCTGATTTCTATATTTAAATACTATAAAAAACTATACTTCTAAACAGAGGCAAAGTATCCTGTAAGACATCATTATAGAACATCAAACCAACTTTTAAATTTAAACTCTGCCCAGGAGTCAGCGCCTACCTTGTAGTGCATCACACATGCAGGTTTATAGGGGTGCTCACTCTCTATGACCGCATAGTGATTAGAGGTTGTACAAGCAGAGAGGCCTTGCTCAGGCTGGTTTCCTGTGGTGCTATCTGTTGACTGATTAGGATTGAATGCAGGGGGTGCATACTTTTGATTCAAAATGGCAACTGAGGGAAGTAACTGTTGGACAAGGCCAAAGACTTCTACAGCCACCTGGTATAAAAAGAAATGATTAAATGAGATAATAAATGTGAAAATTGCTTTAAAGTTGTTAATTACTGTAATTGTTGGCCATCCTTAATTACTAAGATATTATTAAGAGTTTCTTCTGACTAAATTTTCGCTCAAAGAGAAATTTTTTTATGGAAAAAAAGATTTACCTTAGATGTCTTAGATGTTATATGAAAATAACCTTGTCTATACTTTTAAACACTTTGCCTTTTTGTAATCTGCCGTAAACTAGGTTTTACTCAATCTTTATGCTAAAGAATCAATAGTTTATGATTTCCTCCATATCTTGACTATTTCTCAATTGTAAAATACTACTACCTTGCTATTTTTATTCAAAAAGAAGACTTGGCATCAACTTCATAAATTACAAAAATCTACTTAAACTCTCCTTATATGTCATAACTAAAATATATTTCTCATTCCCAAATTCTTCAACTGTAAAGCTAATAAGTAAGCATAGTAATCTAGTCAACAATATGAAGAACAGAGAGGTTTAACTAGTAACTTCTACCATTTTAACATGTCTATCTCTGTATGTTACTTGTAACCCAGGTGCCTCAAAGATTAAAATGTTTATAAAGATACAAAGCCTAAAAACTATGATATTAAAAAAATATTCAAAGTTACATAATTAAGTTACACACCTTGGGAATAGCAGCAGCTACTGGTCCTATGTAGGCTATAATAAGGGGAAGCAGCATGGAAAACAGACTGGAAGAACTAAGCAGTTCTGGAATGTCATCAGCTAAAAAAGGCATTAAAACTATAGTTAGAAGGTAATTTCACTGTAATGTATATATGCTATACTAAATCTATGTTCTAGTCTCTTGAGCAAAATAAAATTATCACTCTTATAAAGGACCTGGCCCTATTTAAGGGCTTTACTGACATAAGCCATAGCAATTAATCCTCACAGTAAGATACTTCTTTATCTCTACTTTATACAAGAAGAAACCAAGGCACACACTGTTTAAATAACTCATCCAAAATCCTACAGCTGTAAAATGACAGAGGCAGGATTAGAACCTACAGTAATAGTCATGATGTTAACCACTACACCTGATGCCACACGTGGCTACATGTGTGACATTAGGCCAATTACTTAATTGGCGTATGCCTCAGGTTACTCCTCTGTAAAAAGGATAGTAATAGTACTTCCCTCAGTGGGTACTATGAAGATTGAGTTAATATATGTAAAACATTAGAACAATGCCTGCACATATTAAGCACTACAAAAATGCTGTTATTAAACTATATTGCCTTCTATTTTACCAAGAAAGCCTTTTGCTAAAGGACATTATAATCATTTACCCAATGAGCACGGTGCTGGGAAGATAAGTTGAGTCTAGACTGAGATCACCTTTATATTAAAGGCCAATTATTTCCAAATACTTCTTTCTAGATATGCTGTTGCATCAGAATAGGATTCAGTTATTTTAAAAATACAGTTTCTTAGCCCAGCCCAAACCTGCAGACTGGATGGGCCAAACATTTTTTATTTTTAGCAAGTTTCCCAGGTGATTCTGATGTGTACTAGGCTTAGGAACAAATGTTACAGATTACAGTAAGGCTGGGTGGGTTACAATGAATGCTTGTGTAAATGAACTCCACTGCCAGTGTGGAGGTGACTAGGTAGCTAGATGTGGAATGGGAGAACAGTGGCAGTGAGGCTGCTGGGATGTTACCCATCTATGGGGAAGAGGACATGTACCAGCACCATGGTAGCTTGGACTATGGAAGAACAGACAGGGGAATACAAATTGGAGAGTTGCCAGTGGAAGAACTTATAGAACTGAAATCAGACAAGTGCGTTTGGGGAGATGTTTAGGGTTACCCACACCTTTGGGTGAATGGTGATAACATTACTGGAAATATAGGAAGAAAAACACACCTTAAGGAGAAAATAAAATGCTTTCTGACTACTAAAGCAAGGATAAAGCAAAGACTCAGCTTTATCCTTGAGTTTTTCTTACTAGGTTAACTAAGGAAAAAATAGGTATCCGGTAACTGCTTTTGGACATTTTAAAAAGTTCTGCATTAGAATATGGAGTATGGCTGATCCAAAATGAATGTGTATGTGTGAGCAGATCTACAATGAATAAAACATTCTGGGATTCTACAAAATAGTTACTCTTCAGTAACTCTGTGTACAAGTTAGGGAATAAAGAATCTAAAATATGACTATTAAAAGAAAAGTCTTACCATCCACAGCAAGAGCTCTGTGCAAGAGGTCTTTTGCAGCTCGAACAACAGTGCTTACCACAGAGAGAGCTCTGCTACAGTTTTTATCTTCTTCATTGGCTTTACTCAGAAGCTGGGATTGTAAATCTCCATCAAATTCACTCCTGTAACAGGAGTAATACATGAGATTATTTTACATGGTAGGTAAAACATGATCTAACTCTAGTTAGATCAGAGCTCCTCACTTAAAGTTAAAAAAGTTAAAGTTGTAACCGTGCAATTTCAAGGAGTGATAGGACTTCAAAGAAAAATACAGCCGGATGAGGATATAAAGTTATTTTAGAATAAGACCAAAGAGAGTCTATATCAGGAACTGATATTTAAATAAAGGCTTGAATTATGTTAAAAAAACAAAAAGCTGAGGATAAAATATTCAGGCATAAGGAATAGTAAGATAAAGGTTCAGACAAGAACAAGACTGGCAAGTTCAAGGAACAGAATGAAGACAAGTGTGACAGGAATGAAAGGAGCGTGGAGGGTGACAGGAATCACACCATGTGAGCTCCATAAGCCTCCGTAAGACCTTGCATTTCCTGGGATGGGAAGCTGTGAGGGGATCGTGAGCACGGGCAGAACTTGGCCTGATGCATATTTCTGTGAAACCCTTCTGGCTGCACTGTGCTGACTGACTGCAGGAGGGCCACCAAAAAAGGTGGGAGGGAGACTGGGGGGGAGACTGGGTTAGAAGCTATGATTGTTACGCAGGGGGCGGCAGTGATGGTTTGAACTGAACTGTTAATTATGGGAGTTAGAAAAGGTCAGACTTAGAACATTTTAAAAGCACAGCTGCCAGGACTTGGTTATGGAAAGAGTGAGAGAAACAGGGAAGTCAAGAAACTCCAAGGTGCTTGGCTCCAACCAGGGATGGGGAGGAGCACTGTGACACATTAAACTACGATGTCTCACAGGTGACCTTAAGCATTGTTAAAGAGGACATGTTAAAAGCAGGTCATCTGGAGACCAATTACCTGCCTACAGAACCCAGGACCATACTTTACAAGAAGTGTGACTTTAGGCAAGGTATTTAACCCTCAATGTGTCTGTTCCCTCATCTGTGAAGCAGGACAAGCGCCCACCTCATGGAGTTACTACAAGGACTAGCTAATAACACAGGTCATGCACTGAAAACACATGTGTTAAGAAACACCTTATTATGCATCCTAGGGCCCCAAGAACTAGACTCAGAGACATCAAAATATATTGCAGACTGGATAATAGAACCAAGGCAAAGCTAGTACTTGGATAGAAGTGATCTGATCACTAATCTTTAGTATTTTTAAAGAAGAAATGAACTGAATGTTTTTAGTATTTTTGGTATTTTTAAAAAAGAAATGAACACACATGCCCAGGAGATAAAAATTTCAAAGATATTAAAGAAGTAACGACAAAAAAAAAGGAAGTAACGACAAAAACATTTTAAAGCATTCACCTTTACAGTGAACAGTGAAAAAATAGAAATATATTAATATATATATATAAACCATGACCCTGGGATCATGACTTGAGCCAAAATCAAGAGTCAGACACTCAAACAACTGGCCCACCCAGCTGCTCCTATATATTAATAAGAGATCTTTTTACACAAATCAGCACAAGTATGTGCAAGGAAGTTATGCTGCATAATTTAATTATAACTATGCATTTAGCATTTTTTACCTTGATATCAAACTGTATGTGTTCTGTTGCTTTAAAATGCCCCCTTCCCTGTACATACACACTTACCTATAGTACAGGATCTGTGGAATCTGTCCTCTGGTTTGATTTGTACCATTACTACTCAAGCTGCATGTGCTGAATGTGAATGTCACACCGTCCGGGCACTGAACTGTGGTCATTCCTCCATCTCCATTGGCTGTACGGCTTCCATAGTTCCTCAAGCGCACAGCATATTTAACATTTTCCTTCACAATAAAGATGCAAAACATGTTTATAATGTACAGAGGCTATAAAAAAAACTGGGCCAGTATACTGAATTTCTTTGTCCTATTTATAGATGATTTGGTTAAGCACATTTTTAATGAATCAAACAGGAAGATAACTCTTAATGATGTTTATTATTTAAAAAAAACTGTACTAAGTACTTCGTGTGCTTTGATTAAGTTAATCCTTAAAATAACTTCATGAGGTAAGTACCATTACTATTCCTATTTTACAGATGAGGAATCGGAGACACAGAGAAGTTACATAAGCCATCCAAAGGCACACAGCTATTAAGTGATGGAATGAGTATTTGAATATAGGCAGTTTGACTCTAGGCCCATAAAGAATACTAACCATAACAAAAGATTTAAAGTACATAATCTAATTATTTTTCTTTGATGAGTTTAACTTTTGAAATAATTTTAAGTGTGGGAAAAATGGTGAATCTACTATATTTTATTTAAGAGACACTCAGAGATAGAAACAGAAAGGTGGAGAAATGGGAAGAAATATCCATAAGCAAAAGTTGTCCCAAATAAGATGTACCGTGCATAGAAAATATGAGATACAGACACTGGTGCCTTATGATCTATGATATACACTTTACAGTGAAAAGATTTTTTTTTGTTTTTTGGTACCCTAACTCTTTTTGATAAGGCCTCTGATGAACTTCTCTTATCCCAGATTCTGTTCTATAATAAAAATAATAATTTACAGTTGAATTCAGAATTACTCCATTCATAACTACTTTATGATTAGGTAGAGGCGCCTGGGTGGCTCAGTCGATTGAGCATCCGACTACGGCTCAGGTCATGATCTCACGGCTCATGAGTTTGAGCCCCGCCTCGGACTCTGTGCTAACAGCTCAGAGCCTGGAGCCTGCTTTGGATTCCGTGTCTCCTTCTCTCTCTCTCTCTCTCTCTCTCTCTCTCTCTCTGCCCCTCCCCCACACATGCTCTGTCTCTCTCTGTCTCAAAAATAAATAAACATTAAAAAAAATTTTAAAAAAGGATAAGACTTCTGTTTTGGTAAATAGTTATGTTACATGAAGTAATAAACAACTTTTATATAAAGTAATAGTAACTTTAATAGTTAATATGATCTATTAAGGCCATTTTTTAAAAAAGAGTTTGGCACAATAAGAGAAGAAAAGACAGGAACTAATATTTGCTGAGTTTCTATACTGTACTAGACATTGAGGCAAGTACTTTATTCTATTATTTAATTTCATCTGAACAACACTACAATGTAGGTACAATCCTTCTGAATCTTCAGATAAGCCTCAGGGTGGTTAAATAATATCTAATGTCTTTAAGCTCTGTGAAAGTGCAGTCATCTGAAGCTAGTTCCGCCTGACTCCAAAACTAAACAATACTTTCTACTATACCAGACTTTAAGAGATCTTTTGCAAAAATACAATATAGTACAATATAAGGGGTATAGTAGTGACTCTATAAACATTTTAAGCATCACAAAAAGGAATACTTTTCATTACTTTTTAAGTAAACTACATAGTACCTCTTATTTATAAAAGAAACATAACTGAAATTACCTTTAAAGGAACAACTTTGTCAAGTCTGATTTCAGCTATATCACTGGGTGAGTCATCTGTTGTATATGTTCCTTTGACTAATTCTAGAGATGTCCATCTGTGAGAATGAGTCGAATCTCCTGCATGTTCACTCTAATTAAAACAAAAACAAAACAAAACCCACCCTATTCTTAATTTTGTTTTATTGTTTTTAAGCAGTTTCTTTCCTTGCATATGAAATTATCCATTAGCATTTCCCCATATATAATGAAGAAAAAAAAATTAGTAAATTATTTATTTTTATCTGATTTCCTGAGGAGTCTACAACCTAAATCATACAAATGGGCTTTTCTCATCTGATGTCTTAAAATGATTTCCACTTCTTCATAAGAAGAGTGCTAATCTAATTAAAGAGCCTAATGAAGTAGGACATAATTTAATTGCTAAAGAGAATCAAGATACAGATAGATTTCTATTTTTTATGAAATGATTTACATGGTAACTTTTTGTCCCATTTTAATAAAACTTTGTGAAAACTCAGGTAATTTAAATAATTTAGAGAATACAGCAAGATAGAGCTTAATCAATCAATCAAAACTATCTTTACTAAGAATAATCCATTTGCACTCTATGACAAAACTGCTTTAGTCATGGATACAGGTAATAATACTGATCTGAATACTGTTCTTGTTTCTAAAAAACTACAAAAGCAAAAAAATTACACAAAAGTTATAATCAGAGGCTTAGCTCTATAATTTCTAGTATTTTCATTTAACATCTCTCCTGGAAGTGCAAAAAACATGAGGCAGAAGTGATCCAGAATGGCACAGAAGCAATCATGCAGAATCACTCTTTCCATTTCTTTAATGTCTTGCACGACTAATGACTAATCTGCTAAACCCTCAAAGATTTGGACACTCTTACTATGATAATGGTAAGTCCTGACGCACAACTTACACACAAGATGACACTGTTAGAGTGGTACTTACGTCATCAACTAACACCTCTAATTCATATTCATGAATTCCACCTCCTCCATAGACAGAAAAACCAACCACAACTATTCCTGGTTTGTCTACTGAAAAACAGATTGCATCAGGGGACCCATTCCCAGTGTTCCAACTTCTTCCCTGACTTGTTTTTGTGAATCGGTTAGCACTGGCTTTAACAGAGTGGAGAGAATTAAGTCCATCAACCTATGAACAACAAAAGCAGTTACACATCAGTAGTCTGTACCTTAGTGTTAATAATATACCTACAACAAAACTATCTCCAAACTTCTAAGAAATTCAAAAAATAATCTACATTTAAGAAGTAGGTGTGAACCTTTCTAAATGTACATTCTATTAAGAGATTATATAGCAATAAAACTAGATTTTATCATTCTAAATTCACAAATCATCACGGGACAGTATTTTCTTCTCTTAGTCATGCATTTCACTTAATTTATAATGCAGAACTATAAACATGTAAGTCATCACAGTCATAACATATGAATGAACTATATCACTCACTCTGAAAAGAAATACCAAAATTTCATCAACATTCTGTGGACCAACAGTTTTCAATCTATGTGACATAGAGCTCTAGGAATTCTGGAGAGAATTAAGAAAGAGGTGGACTAACTTTCCCCTCTTCAGTGGGACTATCCCCTCCTCTTATCCGTGAGTTTTCAAGACTTCATTTGCAGAAAATGCATACACAAAAGTGAATATATATACATAACTACAACATCATTGATTACAGACTTTCATTAGAGAGGATCAGTGAACTTATTTTGGATTGAAAGTGCTCTTTTCAATTACAGAGCCTGCTTTTGATCTAAGTTGGCTGTAGAAATCTGAAAGACCTATAAGAGGGAAAAAATTGAAGTTTATGATTCTAACAAGAATTTCAAACTATTCTGGGAAAGAAGGAAATATGGATGTCTAAGTCATGACCTTTGTAAATTTCCAAGTTCGTAGATTAGGCACGTAAAATCGGAGCAATCTTTCTCATTGGAAAGGTAAGTTCATATGGGGAAAACCAGATAGTAACCTTCTGAGGGGGACCTATGCATCAGACTTTCCTCCAGGATCTGGTACAGAAGGGAAGCCTGTTATACAGGCTGAATGACCAAGTGAAAAAAAGACAAATTAAAATTTTCTGACAAGGGGCTCAATGACCTCCTAGACCAAAGTCAAAGTGAACTAAGAAATGGAGGAGGTGGTTCCCAGGGTTAAATACTAAACTCTGCTCAGGTGCATGTAATCATTCAGAAATCCTAAAGGCTAAACTGTCGCTATGAATTAGTAATGAGTATACACTGGATAGATTAATTTAGAATAGATTCCAAAATAAGTCTCCAAGTAAGAAAAAGCAAAGGCTAGGGATTATAAAAGCAAAAGAGAGAAAAGATGTTATTTGGCAAGCAACTGAGTACATGCTAACTAATCAACATTCATTTGAATGATATAAGATATTTTGCATTGTGACATGATTTTTAAAATCAACCTTCTGTCTGCATTTTGGGGAAAAAATTAGAAACATTCACTAAATTCAGTCAAAATGTTTAGATAAATTATATGGCAGAGCGAGCAGGACAGTGATATGATTAAAAATAATGTTATTTTGCAAAATGTGAAGCACTTTAAAACATTTCAAAGTAGTTTTCTCAAACATACTAATATTCGATTCTTTTAAAACTTTGTGATAATAGCTGTGCAACAATGTGAATGTACTTAATGCCGATTTTCATAAAATTATTTTTTGCATTTTATGGGGTGCCTGGCTGGCTCAGTTGGGGGAGCGTGTGACTCTTGATCTTGGGGTTGTGAGTCTGAGTCCCACGCTGGGTGCAGAAGTAACTATAAAAATAAATTAACTTAAAAAAATTACTTTTCCCATTTTACAGATGTCATTTGTCTTGTGTCAGTCAAGTGGGCAGAACTATGGTTTAAACCTCTTTACCTTTTCCATACTGTGTGTTCCCTACTAGTAGCCCCATTTCTATTCCTCATGGGCCAGCAATGTGAACTATTTTGGAACATGGCAGTGAGGTTGTACAATGGGGCAAATAAGAGGAAAACATGCAGTGTGTATCGCTGTGACGTCTTGGGGAAACTGGTGAGAGAGGAAGCAAGCAACAGCACAGACGAGGTGTAAGGAAGGGAAAACCAAACAAACAGCCTGCTTGAAGGTTTTTTATTTTTTTTTTAAGAAAACAGTACAAATAGGATTAAAATTAGTTTATACAAAGACAAAATATATGAAAAAAGAAATTATGTGGCAAGCTTAAACATGTGCTTATTATCCAGTCTCAAAATAAAACATCACCTCAGATCCCAGGGCTGATGCTGTCAGTTCACTGACAATACTGGCCAGCAATCCACAGGTGTTGGAAACCAGGTGAGAGGAGAAGAGCTCATTTTCTCTCCTCAGGCTGTTCCTGACTGGGAGCACAACAATGACCAGCATTTTCTCCAGAACTTCACGGAAGCTTGTCATACCTGAGATATTCTCTTCACTCTATGATAGATGAAAAAAAAAAAAGTTCCAAATACTGCTTTATCTTCCTTCACCTGAGTACTCAATTGCAAAATCTTATCTTTCTAAATGACACCCTTAAAATTCAGGTTTGACTCTATGTCTAGAAATCCATCCAGTTGTATGTGGAACCACTGACTTTACTTTTACTGTTCTTTCTTCTTTTTTTTTAATTTTATTTAAAAAAAATTAAAAAAAAATTTTTTTAACGTTTTATTTATTTTTGAGACAGAGAGAGACAGAGCATGAATGGGGGAGGGGCAGAGAGAGAGGGAGACACAGAATGGAAGCAGGCTCCAGGCTCTGAGCCATCAGCCCAGAGCCCGACGCGGGGCTCGAACTCACGGACTGTGAGATCGTGACCTGAGCTGAAGTCGGACGCTCAACCGACTGAGCCACCCAGGCGCCCCCAAAATTTTTTTTTTAACGTTTATTTATTTTTGAGACAGAGAGAGACAGAGCATGAACGGGGGAGGGTCAGAGAGAGGGAGACACAGAATCTGAAACAGGCTCCAGGCTCCGAGCTGTCAGCACAGAGCCCGACGCGGGGCTCGAACTCACGGACCGCGAGATCTTGACCTGAGCCGAAGTCGGCCGCCCAACTGACTGAGCCACCCAGGCGCCCCTTACTGTTCTTTTTTCAATTAGTCTCTGTGTATCACAAAAGTACCACATATTTACAAGATGTATGTGTTTTTGTTAGCTTTGACTCATTTTCACTTACTCTCTTATTTAACTTCTCAATAATAATTATATATGACAGAAAAACACTCCTCCTATTTTTCAATAGGACAAAATTCCAATCTAAGATAATTATTTCTGGTATAGTTACAGGTAAAACAACTGGGAAAGTCTGTACAAATCTTTTTTCTAATAAAACTTTTTCTGTACATGCATGTAATAAAAATATGGAATTCTACTACAAATACTCCTATGCAGTTTTACAATTTCTTCTGTACTTGACTTCCTAAATGAAGATAAGACATTCCAACCCCTACCAATAAAAATTTCAAGATAAGAAATTATAAAGTCCCAACAAAGACCAAGGGGAAAACATAGGTCTTTTTTTCCAGAAACCAAGTGAAAAGATGATTAAATTAGTTGATGTCCAGCATGAACATTATTTATATTTTTTACCATCCTCAGTATCATTTAGCCCACTGTGGACACAGTGCAAAATGCATCCAATTTCATGAGGGGACAATTGTGACCAATGACCCAATTTTACTGTGGACTAGAGAATCAAACAATTTGGAATTTAGTTCCAGTTTCTTCATAGTGCCTTAACTTCTGTAAAATCAGGGAAACTATATACTCTGATTCAGTTACCAAAATCACCTAGTTGCACCCTGAATAGCCAAGTTTTTCCACAATACTTACATTCCATGCTGCTTTACAAGATACAGCAAATTCAACGGATTTCATAAAGTCATAAAATCTCAAGGTAGAAAAGGGTCTTTAAAGTTAAATCAGTTCCCAAGACAAATAAAATATGTAAATGAGGGTACATTCAACCCATTATAGAAAACTAAGTAACTTTTTAGTTAAAATAATCATGAGCATTATTTTAAACCACTCCCAACAGCTTTCCTTTTAGAGAGAGAGAGACAGAGTGAGAAAGAGAGAGAGAAAATCAGGGGCAGGGACCAATGTGGGGCTCTATCTCACCACCGACAGGTGAGATCATGACCTGAACTGAAATCAAGAGTCAGATGCTTAATCAACTCAGCCACCCACGTGCCCCATCAACAGCTTTCTTAATGTGCAATCTTAAGCTAACAAAAAGTCACTTAGAAATAATCTTCCATCCTTGGCCCAAGAACTGAGAACCAAGATCAATGGAACAGAATAGACAACCCAGAAATGGACCCACAAATGTATGGCCAACTAATCTTTGACAGAGCAGGAAAGAATATCCAATGGAATAAAGACAGTCTCCTCAGCAAGTGGTGCTGAGAAAACTGGACAGCGACATGCAGAAGAATGAACCTGGACCACTTTCTTACACCATACACAAAAATAAACTCAAAATGGATGAAAGACCTCAATGTAAGACAGGAAGCCATCAAAATCCTCGAGCAGAAAGCAGGCAAAAACCTCTTTGATCTTGCCTGCAGCAACGTCTTACTCAACACATCTCCGGAGGCAAGGGAAACAAAAGCAAAAATGAACTACTGGGACCTCATCAAAATAAAAAGCTTTTGCACAGCTAAGGAAACAATCAGCAAAACTAAAAGGCAGCCGACAGAATGGGAGAAGATCTTTGCAAATGACATATCAGATAAAGGGTTAGTATCCCAAATCTAT